GTAGACGAAGCGAGCACAGCCGTACGATGCACAATTGTGAAGATTTAAAAAGAATGAAATTTCGATACATTCCACAATGTGGATGGACCCTGAACACTGTACTAAGTGAAAGAAGTCAATTGCAAAAGGGCAAACCTGGACGAATCCACCTACGTGAGGTTCCTAGAACACACAAATCCAAGGAGACTACATAGGACAGAGGTTACCAGGGGCTGCAGAGGGGGCTGTTAGTGTTTAATGCGCACAGAGTTTATGGTGGGGATGATAAAAAATTCTGGGTAGAGGGCTGGGGCTGTAGCTCAGTAGTAGAGCACTTGCGTAGCATGCGTGAGGCACTGGGTTCGATCCTCAGCACCACATAGAAATAAACAAGTAAAATAAAGGCATGCTGTCCATCTACAACTACAAAAAAAAAAATTAAAAAAAAAAAATCCTGGGTAGAGATAATGGTGATGGGTACACAGCATTATGCAAACACTTAATGCCACTAAACTGTACATTTACCAATGGTTAAAATTAGTCAGGTGTGGTGGTTCATGCCCCTAACCCTAGCAGCTTGGGAGGCTGAGGCAGGAGGATCACAAGCTGAAAGCCAGCCTCAGCAACTCAGCAAAACCCTTTATAAAAAAATAAAAAGGGCTGGGGATGTGGTTCAGTGGTAAATTGCCTCTGGGTTCAATCCCCAGTACCCAAAATATAAAACAAATGGTTAACATAACAAATATTATGTATATTATTATGTATATTTCACTATCACTAAAGAAATGAAAAAAAATAGAACACTGTAAGCATGGTTTAAAAACCTAAGGCTGTGCTCCGCGCGTGGGGGCTTCTTTGTCCCATCAGGTGGTGCTCCTGTGCCCTACCCCATGGCACAGTGAGAAACGGAGGCCCTGGCTCCTGACACATCCACAGAGAACTTGTGAGATGGTGTGCGGCACTGCCAAGGCGTCCCTGCCTCTGTGGCAGGAGCTCTTTCTCTGCTGCTCTGTATTGCACAAGAGCTTTGTCACCGTGACAGTGGACTTTAATTAAGAGGGAAGGAAAGCCACAGCGTTTCTGGCTCACACGCCCAGTCTGACACTCCAATAACTATGTGGCTTCAGTAAGTTACTCCGCCTCTTTGACCCAGTTTCTAAAACACATATACACATGCCGCCTGTAGGTCTGGTGCGGGGACCGCAACAGTAAGAACTAGCACTTGCTGTGCGCGGCAGCTGGCATGTGGTGACTGTCACTCCATTAGCGCTGACAGAACCTGCGACCCCACTGTACCTTGTGTGCCACACAGTCCTGCACCTTGGCCTCCAGGTGGAGGCTCTCGCTCTCTGCAGACAGATCGGTGAGGATGTCCTATAAAAAAGGCAGACAGGAGAAGTGTCAGCCTGTGGCGTGCACTCATGTCCTCTGAGGGATAGTGGGTGGCAGGCTCCTGGTCAGATTGCTTAGAAGGGACCCTGGGATGCTTGACCTCAGCAGAAATGCCCACGAGTCAGGCAGGCCCTGAGGCCTTGAGGGCAGCAGCTTGGAACAAGCATGTACCTGAAGGGACTGTGGGTATATCCAAGTCATCCTATACCCAACAGACTGTACAGAGTCCACAGACCCTCAGAGCACAGAGCCTGTACCAGGTTTGTTTTTTTTTTTTCTTATTTTTTTGGTACCAGAAATTGAACTCAGGGGCACTCAGCCACTGAGCCACATCCCCAGCCCTATTTTATATTTTATTTAGAGACAGGGTCTCACTGAGATGCTTAGTAACTCCATGTTGCTGAGGCTGGCTTTGAATTTGCGATCCTCCTGCCTCAGCCTCCTGAGCTGCTGGGATTATAGGCAGGTGCCACCATGCCCAGCTGTATCAGGGTTTTGAACAAAGCACTGCTCCTGTCCTGAGGCCCACAGTCAAGAGCTAAACTCTGGCTGCTTGCTGGGATGAGGCTCCACACCTACACTGTACAAAGCCCCTCAGGTGATTTGCATGGGCTTCATACTAAAAGCAGCAGGAAGCATGGGCAGTTTTTGAAAAGGATGGGAAAGGACACACTGGGAAGATGAGAGCCGAGACAGGGATGGAGATGGGACCTTTCCACTGTAAGAAGAGGCCTGGACAGAATGAGGGCCATGGTGCTGGGAATGGAAGACATGGCCAGAGGTCTGGGCTAGAACTTCACACAGAATGGACTGGGCAGTGACCAGAGAAAGCAAGGACAACTCCACTGTTTCTTCAGGAGCAACTGGGGTTGCTGGCAGAATGGACATAAACAGGAAGTCCTGAGGAAGCTCAGGCCTGGGAGGGGGGAGGGTCCTGGGAGACCCAGATGGCCTCGAAGGTGCAAGTATGGGGTGCTGGGAACCAGGTGCGGGCACCCCAGAGTTGGTCCACAGCAGAAGAGGGCTGAGGGCACAAGCTGTGGAGTCTCAGTACATTTTATGGGTCAGCAGATAAGTATGAGGAAGTGAGAGAGAGGAGCAGTCAAGAAGGAACTGGAAAGCACGCGGAGAGGGAAGAAACGCTGCTCTGGGATGGGGAACACGGGAGGGGCCGCTGGGCAGGGGGAGACCAAGGGGGCCTACAGCTGCCTGGGGACTGGCAAGAGGACTGGGCCAGTGAGGAACCGGAAGAGGAACTTGGGAAGCATCATGTGACTTTCAACAGCAAGACTCAGCTAGTCCTCTCTGGCTATGGGCACAGATTTGAGGGGACGGTCCCTTGGGTTTGGGGCCTTGGCCACATATCCAGGCAAGTTTCAGATGGGGAACTAAACAGGTGCTCCTCTCAGAGCCCCCCTAGATGGGGACGAACCTGCTGGCATCTCTGCTCCCAACAATCCCACAGTGTTTTGAAAAGGGAGCATTTCACAATTCTGGATTTGCTTCCTCATTTTCTGTCGGGGCATTTCCCTGTGGTTTTGCTGTTGCCTAACAATGTTTCCTTCATTTTGAGCGCGGGTGCCTAGCTGATCTGTACTCCCTGCTCCCAGCACAGTCCCCGCCCCCCGTCTAATTTGTCAGGGTCCAGTGTTACCTGGAGAGACATGGTCCCTCTCACAGCGACCACGACAGCCTCCTTCCTGTGATCCAGCGCCACCAAGAAGGGCAGCTCATACACCTGAAGGATGAGAAACAGTGTGAGGCCTACATAATGGAAACATGCAGCTAACAATACAAAGTTAGAACATGTCTGCATCCCTTGCAATTGCCACAAGAAACCTGGAGGAAACACATCCACCTCGTCCTCACCAGCCAGGGCTCCACTTGACACTACACACCAAAGGCCTTCATTAAACACTCAACTGTCATGACCAGCGGTTTTCTTTCTTAGCCTCTCTCACCCCTGCCACTAGGTCAAATCTACTGTGCAGCTCCCTGGTGGGTTCAAGGCTCACTTCACCTCCCTCATCTGGGTCCCGGCACCACTGATTGTTCATTCGATGGATAAATTCAGTCTTGTGCTGAGCAGCTACAGGCCAGCCCTGGAGGCCAGAACCACAGGTGCTAGCCACCAGATTCTCAGGCTGCACTATCCTGTCACCTACTGGAGTCAGGTGAGACAGCATGGTATCTCTGATGAACCCTGGTTGTTCTACCTTGTGTTAAACCTGGGTTTTAAACCTGGATCCATGGACCTGTGTGGGATTCGGGGGTGGGGGGGGGGGGGGGCGTGGAACTCCTGAAATAGTACACAAGATTTGGGGTGAGTGTGTGTCTCTGAATTATATAAAGGATAATTCCTAATTCCCATTGGAATCTCAAAGGACTCTAGGATGCAAAATTAGTTTAAGAGCCCCTGTTTGATACTGCACCTTGTCATGAAAGCTTATGTGAATGAAGTCTCTGTATTGTAGCCTCGTCGTTTGCAGGATGGAGCTGAAATGGCAGTTGAGCTGATCACCTCCAACCAAGTCATATTCTGTTGTTCTGCTTCTGCAACTAAAAAGAGGGCAAAGAGGTTACTGTGCCAACCTGAACCCTTACCAGGAGTCTGATACGGTCATATTTTCCCAGGAAAAAAGAACTAAAGCTGACAATTTCCAGGACATCCTGGCTAACAGAGAACGGCATGCACGCACTCATTCACCCACTAATTTTGCAGTACTGGGGACTAACCCAGGGGCACTCTACCACTGAGCCACACCCCCAGTTCTTTTTATTTTTTTATTTTGAGACAGAGTCTTGCTAAGTTGCCGAGACTGGCTTTGAACTGGGATTCTCCTTCCTTAGTCACCTTAATCACTGGGATTACAGCTATGTGCCAGCCACCCTGCTCAGCTAAATTCACAATTTAACAGACACAAGGGGCTGAACTGCATGAAATTGCTATTTTCCCCCAACTCTGTCCACTGAAAAGCCCAGAAGCAATGACACCCAGGAGGGATAGACACACTTAGATCTTGGTTTCTAAATACAACTGCCCACACTGAGAGCAAGGGGAGCCCCGCAGAAACCATTCCAGGGAAAAAGAAGATGAGTATCTTATGTCAGAAATTTAGGAAGTGCTCACAAAGTGATGGGGACATATCAAAAGGACACAGGAGAGTCTACAGGACCTAGGTGTCTGGGACACTTTGAGCACCAAATAAACAATATATGTATTAGAAAATGATTAGCAATGAATCTTAATCCACAGAGTAAAGTCAAAATCTATATGTAAATATTAATAATACGTAATAAAGAAGGAAAAATTCTTCTTTATAGCAGAATGACAACTAATGCAGAAGAAATGGTGAAAAAAATCATAATTTTGTAATTATTCTAGAAATTACTGATGCACACAAAAATCAATGAATGCCAAAGATACTAGGTGGAAGTTTGGAGAGGAACTAAATATTTAAATGGTCTCAACTGTCTCATTAAAGGAGACTTCTTGTTTCAAATGGAAGGAAAGCACCACTGTCTGTGGCAGAAACTGCCATCAGCACCTGAGCCAAGTGATCAGTGACAACTGCGCCAGGAGTGGGGCAACTGGCCTCATGCGCTCCTAACAGGATGCATCAGGAAGGACACAAAGCACAGCATCCCTGCCCAAAGTCCAAAACCCGATCTACCGCAAGAAAACCATCAGACAAACACAAACAGAGGACCCTTCTACAAACTGTCAAAATTTGGAAGACAAGAGAATGACGGAGGAGCGGTTCCGAGCTGAGGGAGACTATGCAGAAGAGCCGGAGCTGCAGATGGTGTGCAGTGGCACAGCACTCGCCTTCCATGCACGAGGGCTGGGTTCTGTACCCAGCATGCAAACAAAAAAGGGAGCTGTGACAACCACAGTGAAAAGTACCATCCCCAGTGGAGGAAAAATCATGAAGAGGGATATTACCGATTGCAAATTAGTTAATAATCAGAGATAAACTTATTAGAGGTCTGTAAAAGAATGTCCTGAGAAAATTCAGGCTGAAGTAATAAAAAAGCATGGAGTAATAAGTAAATCTTGAATGGTTCAGGGAAAAAGAAATATGCCCGTGGAAAGAGGCTGACAGAGTACACATGGGATGAGTCGGAACTGGTGGCTCCAGATAAAGGACTGAGGGATGTCTTTGGTCACCTTTGTTGCTTTTTTTTTTCCTTCAATACCAGAGATCAAACCCACCAGGGATGCTCTGCCACAAAGATATATCCCCAGCCCTCCCCTTTTTACTTTGAGACAAGGTCTATGTTAAGTTGCCTAGGCTGGCCTTGAACTCAATCCTACCACAGTCTCCTGAGTGGCTGAGATTCTAAGGTGTGTGCCACCATGCTCAACTTGAAAACTTCTGATTTCAAAATAAAACTTTTTTTTTTTTTTAAAAGGACAAATGTGGACATGGAAGCCTCACCGCAAGCCAACCTACCAGTCACCTCCAATCTTGCACAGTCCTGTAAACGGGTTTCTATAAATGTAGAGAGGCCACCCATAGGCAGCTGCTGCAAACTGCATATAATGATGGCAATTTTCTAATTCTACATCCAAATCAGCTTCCTGTAAGAGAAGGGAAAAAAAAAAGCTTTCATTTAGAGGAACTCATTACAGGGAGGATGAACACACTAAGATCTTAAAACTGAGAACTCTAATTCCTGATTCTTCCCGCTCTTTCCTCACTGACCCGAACTCTCAGAGAACGTCTGCAGGGAAAATCAATCCTTAAATACAGATTAGATGGACCCAAAAACGCAGGGAGTACGGAGGGAGCTAACATCAAAAAGACCGAGGATTCTTCTGACTCCTGCCTGGAGACATTAGCAAGGTTCTCACTGCAAGAGGTACTGCCAAGAAATGGGTGTTTCAGCAAGGAGCAGGGAAACACAAGTAGTCTGTTTGCAGTTTTCACTTTTGAAAGCATAAAAAACTATGGCAGACGGGGCTAGGGCTCAGCAGTAGCGCACTTGCCTGGCATGTGTGAGGCACTGGGTTTGATTCTCAGCACCACATATAAATAAATGAAGGTCTATCAAAACTAAAAAAAAAAAAAAAATTAAAAAAATCTATGGCAGAAAACCACCATAAAGCAAATATGAACTATTTCTGCCCCTCAGAGGAGAAAGCAAGCACACCCCAGGAGGTAGGAACCAGGCTCAAGTCCCACCCTAGAAGGAATTTTTCTGGTACACAGAATCCAACAGTGAGTTTCCTAAAACAGAGGGCCTTGAAAACATGATGGATGGTAAATTGGCTGAGAATGGGCTCCCACCTCCTGGACTCCAGATGAGGAGCTGCCTCACAGACAGGTGATAAAGTACAAGCAGAAGCCACAAACTGGATTCAACTGCTATTGAAATTGCTTGTGGCTAATTGTGTATCTTTGAAGATCAACACAGAGGTGTGAATGTCAAAACTGTCAATCCAACAGAAATTCAGGGTTACCTGGGAGTCCCCTGGGGAGTGGCTGATCACCTCACTAGGCTCCTGGCTGTTGCTCACATTGTCCTGTTGCTGGTGGAGAAGGGCGAGACCCGCCGCGATGTCGCTGGGCACCAGATCTGTGTCCTGGGAAAGAAATCAAAATGGCCTGTCATTAAAACCCAGCAGGAACTACCCAGTAACTCCTTAAAATTCATTTTACACCGTTCACAGGCACATGTGGACACACATAGATATAATGACATGTACAAGTCACTGAAGAAGCAATTTCCTTGTAGGACTCTATATATATGTGAGTTTAATATTTTTTCATATCTTGTTCTCAGACAAACCTACGATTAATCGTTTTAAAACTTCCACTTCAAGTGACTTAACTATTTCTAGTCTATTTTAAATCTTTTATAAAGTCGAGGAGTAAATGGGTAAATCCTCCACCATTTTAGTAATGCACAATTTGAACCCAAGTTTATACCATCATTTCAAGTTGGTGTGAAAGTTTTTTTTAAAAAGTATTTTTTTAGTTGTAAATGGACACAATATCTTTATTTTATGTATTTATTTTAATGTGGTGCTGAGGATCAATCCTAGTGCCTCATGCATGCGAGGCAAGTGCTCTACCACTGAGCCACAACCCCAGCCCCGCTGTGAAAGTTTTGTTAAAACACAGTCTACAGCAGAGATTTACGAGGCTGAATGTATGCTTACTGGGTGCAGCATACAGTAAAAGAAACCCCAAACAAGAAAAGCAACAGAGCTGTCCTCTGGAGTCTGACCTTAACCCTTACCCTTTTTCTTCAGGACAGATATGGAGGAGCAGAAGTCCTCTACCAACAGCAGGCACTTCTAGCACACAAGAAAGGACCATGTACTGGTCACTGGGCCTCTGGGTCATCAGTTCTGCCTATGATGAAGAATAAGAAATCCTGAGAATATCCAGCTTCTCTTCTTCCTCCTTCTAAATATCTTTAGATATTGGTTGAAGCACTCCTTCAAGATTCAGGGGAACACCCTTCTCTAATCCCCTTGAGGCTGCTGTGGCCTGGTGTCAGGCTCTGGGGCCAACCCTGAATAGTACAAAGTCGGGTACCACTGAGAAGCGAGAGAGAGAGACAGGAAGGTATGGAGGATGTCGACACTTTTCCTCCTTACTTGGTCTCAATACAGAAAATAACAGCAGTTTATCAGAGAACATTACATGAAAAGACAAAATCACACACCAAATACGAAAGAAAAACAAATATTTTCAAATCAGTAGAAGGCTCTAGAATGACATTCTTTTGTACCGCAACACTTCAAGCTTTCTTTCAAAAGTAGAGTAGTCTATCATTTCTATCATGGTATGAAGTGGTAAGAAATCACAGGTATTACCCTGGATGCATGACTCTGCCTATGCAGGTAGGTATCCACTGAGTCAGCTGGACAGAGGATGTATAAGACGACAACTAGAAAATCATTCTCGAAATGTACAGCTTCCTTATTTAGTTCCTTAAAAATGAATTCAAGATCTTGACAGTATAAACTGGGCACAGTGACACACACCTGTAATCACAGCTATTCAGGAAGCCGAGGCAGAAGGATCAAAAGTTCGAGGATAGACTTGGCAACTTAGTGACACCCTGCCTCAAACATAAAATAAAGAGGGCTGGGGATATGGCTCAGTGGTAGAGCACTTTCCTAGTGTGTGTGAGGCCCTGGGTTCCATCTGCAGTATTGGGAAAAAACCCTCAACAATGCAATGAACAGGTGTCAATGACAGGACGCACCTGACCAGCGAGATAGGGTCTGAGAAAGCCTGGCCCCTGCAGTTAATGGCTCCCCAGAGCATTCATCCCAGACACAGTGTCTGCCCCCAGCCCCATGCCCAAAGGTTCCAGGTTCTCAAATGCCACTTTGGAAGACTAGGGGGCTCAGCTCAAGATGCAGTGCGCTCATCTTCACAGAGAAGCATTTACTGAAACAGAAGAAAGAGACCAAACCATATCCCTTCAGCTTACTGAAAAGTAGGTTGAGAAAAGCTCTGCCGTACTCGAAAAAGCAACTCGAGTATGGTCGTCTTTCCCAATGCAACAGCACAAGAACTTGATTCTGGTTTCCCACACGCTTGTAGCTGCTGTCTTGAGGCCATTAAGTAACTGGCTTGAATCATTACTATCCAGGTGACTGGGACCAGCCGAGGAATATGGGGCCATTTTCCCCCCCAGTGGGTCAAAGACAATGATAATGGTGACCACCGTGGCGGCGATGATGATCCAACTGCAAAACAGAGAGTGGAAAAGGCTCAGTGACGGTGGGCCCCACCTCCAGATGGCTCAGCCCCTGCATCTCTATAGAGGTGCTCCTTCCTGAGGAGGATGTGGATTTTCCAGATCCTGACTGAGGCGAGCAACTCAGTTCTTCAAGAAAGTTCCTCACTGCTAACCCAGGCCCCATAAAGATTAGAGTAGTAAAAATAAAGAAACAAAGGAAACAGAACTATTTGGTGGGCAGAGCTGCAGTATGAACACAGAAGCAGCTGGAACTAGCTCTTCACAGCACTACCTTTATCAAAAGAATTTCCATATAGTGCGCTACCCCATAGTTCCTTTGTTCATGTGTTTACATATTTCTAGGTTGCCCCACCGAGCGCGGGCGCCCCAGAGTTCATGGACTGTGCTGCTGGGAAGATGCATATCAGTGAGGAAACTCTGCTGCCCCCTGGTGGTATGGCTGAGGAAAGGCAGCAACAGCAGGAACCCATTACTCAGAACAGGAGGAGATGGAATTAGATCATCTCTCAATTTTTAGCTTAGAATATTTGAAACCATATTATAAACATTACTACAGTATTATTCCCTGATGCCATTCCTGTCACTCTATTTTTTCTCATCCTACTTTTAGTTTTGGTCATCTATAGTCTTCCTTTTTAGAAGAGAGGGAATGCAGAAAAATGAGAACCTGTAAGAAATAAAACATCAACAAATATATAAGGGAAAACGAATTATTTCTCATGTACAAACCAGTGTCTCTTAAGTTTCCATGAGTCACTCAATCTGATTCTAATTCTGCTAGGAAGCCACTGGACACTGGGCTACCTGTCCTGTTTCTCAGAAAGACTTGTTCACCTGCCTCCCAAAAGCATCTGTGATGAGGAAAAAACTAAAAGAGAAGACAGAAGGCCTCACCTGACAACGACAGTTGCTACGATGCCATTCACAACAGTCCTGTCACACTGGACGCCCTCTGTTACCCAGGCGGCCCCCAGAGAAGCCCAGACCATCTCCGGCAAAAAGAGCGCTAAGCGGATGTACAGCAGCTTAGACATCGACTTCCGTGGTCCAGGGTTACAAATGGTTCCTGAAATATAGAAAATAACCAACGGCTCACTTACCTCTTCAGAGAAGAGCTTCCCTTCCACATAAGTACAGCTAAGGGGGCACACATCTGTGCACACCCACACCCGTCTTGGTAAGCATTGCCTTCACCGGAGAGCAGCTGACAAGGTGAAGCCTGACTCACAACAAAAAGCCTGATTCATTTCTCAGCTTCAATGGGGGTTAAAGCTCTAACTGGGGTGAACACATAATCAACTGCCTAAATGGAGAGAATTCTGAGAGCAAAAGGGGACACTGTTAATAATCAGGCTGGGGCAACAGGCACACCATAGGGCTGTCCCAGACCAGCAGGATACAGTCCTTCAGGTTCTTTTTATGTTTTGCTTTAATTTGGTCCAGGGGATTGATCCCAGAGGTGCTTTACCACTGAGCTACCTCCCCAGCACTTTTTATTTTTTGAGACAGGGTCTTGCTAAGTTACTTAGGGCCTCACTAAGTTGCTGAGGCTGACCTCAAACTTGAAATTCTCAAGGATTACAGGTGTGCTTCCCTGGTGCATTGCCCAGGTTCTGATAGTCAGAAAAACAAACTCCACACTCACAGAAAATTGTGCTGTCCAAAGCACCATTCTAAACCCTGTATGTCTGTTATTCTTTAATCTTCATGAACTGTGATTCAGTCATTATACCGTTTTACAGATGAGGAAACAGACTCAGATGGAGTAAGAAGTACTTTCTGAAATATAATCTGGGTATGTAAGACGGGGGATGGGGGTTCTTTGACTTGTGGTCCTCACTTTGGGGAAGTGATCTACTCTTTTTTGTTAGTGCTAAAGATGGAAGCCAAGGTCTTTCCCATGCTGAGCAGGAGCTCTACCACTGAACTATACCCCTGTTCCCGGAAGTAAAAAGTCTGATGTGTGGGACCCCTTGAGGAGGGCTGATATTGAGACATGACATTTTTATTGTATTTGTAAAACAAATCCAAGTATCAGTAGAGGTCTTCAGTAGAGGTTCCCGAAATACAGAAAATAACCGACGGCTCACTTCCCTCCTCAGAGAAGAGCTTCCCTTCCACTTAAGTACAGCTAATGGGGCACACATCTGTGCACACATGCTAGGCAAGTGCTCTACCACTTTGTGTTTAAATTCTTCATGTAAAACATCAACTCCTTTTGGGAAAAAGTGGGGATACACTTATCTAAGTAACATAAAAATACCAAATGATTAAAACAAAAACAATATTGAAAAAAATCTTAGATCTAAGATCTAAAGAATGACATGGTAAAGAAATAGTCTTTAAATTTCAAAAATTATCCTCTGTTAGAATTAGAGTCTCGCTTAAAAATATTAGGCAATCTCTGGACTCATTTGTGGCACAAAGACAAATTTTATAAAATAATTGTTTCTAATAGTTCTCTCTCTCTGAGGGACAGATAAAGGAGCAGATCTGTAAAAACAGTTCCACATAACTGACCCTCCTAGAGAAACAGAAAACAGTACCCTGACACTGCCTCCAGGGGAGCTGGGACCCTCAACAAGAACATGTCTTAACACCTTACATCCCAACGCTATCTGAAACACCAACAGTGACAACAGCTACAAATGCTGCATTAAAGAAATACACACATAGACGAGGAAGCAAAATGGAGTGCTTCAGATCAAGGTTCCAGAAAAGACATGAGACACTGAAGGTGCCTTTCCATAGTTACACCTGCCTGAGAGGAAAGTGAATGTGCAAATAAAGATAGAGTCTTCCCAGTCTCACTCTCTTTTTTAAAAAATATTTTTCTCAGTTGTAATGGACCTTTCTTTTACTTATTTATATGTGGTGCTGAGAACTGAACCCAGTGCCTCACTACATGCTAGGCAAGTGCTCTACCACTGAGCCACAGCCCAGCCCTAACCAAAGCCTCTTATAGTAGACATGAAGTTAAACTAGTACATCCACACCTTGCAATACTGCTCAGCAATAAAAAGATAAACCAACAAGGCGTGGTGGCACACACCTGCAATCTCAGCCACCCAAGAGGCTGAGGCAAGAGGATCCCAAGTTCAAGGCCAGCCTCAGTAACTTAGTGAGACCTGTCTCAAAATAAAGAATTAAAAAAGGGCCGGGAACATAGCTCAGTGGTAGGGTCCCTGTATTCAACTGCCAGTGCCACTGAAGAAAAAAAAAATAACTACAATAACAGTGATTGCTCCCAACAAAGCTATGTATTTACAACCAAGAAAAAGAGGATCAGTCTCTTGGATAAGGATGACTCAATTATTTTGCTCCAAATACTCCCTCTACAACGTGTGATATTTCAGAGAATATCAGTGTAAAGCTAAATACATATTGTCTTTCTGCTCAAATGACAGATTAATTACTAAGACTTGACTAATAAAACAAAAGGGGCAATGGAAGTTATCCTTGTACCAAGAATTAAAGTTACCAATGTGTTAATTATTTTAAAATAGACCTGAAATTAAAATATGTAAAGACAAACAAACAACAACCCCCCCCACACACACACACACAAATACACACACCTCACTGAATCAGTACAGAGTAAAAAGTTCAAATAGGTCAAGTTGATAAAAACTCAATTTTAGGGTTGAGGTGTAGCTCAGTGGTAGAAAACTTGTCTAGCAGCATAATGCCCAGGGATCCACCCCTAGTCCACAAAATAATGGTGATGATGATGATAATAAAAGTAAATTTTAAGCATTCCTCCCACCCCGGAACCCCAGTCCTCAGTTCCCCTCCCTAGAAGTAAGCCAGTAGCTGTGTCTCCTTCAGGGAGAGTCTGCACATAAACAAACACATATTACATTCTGTGGAAAAGAGCAGCAAACAACATACAATGTCTTGTACCTTAGCCCACATGAAATCACCCTTTACTGTTCACAACTTATTTTCTCTTTCTTTTTCCCCCCACCATTGTGCAACCTGCTTCAGTGCCAGCAGCCTAAGGGCAGAGGTCAGCAGTGGTTCTGGGCTTGTCTGCCCTGGGCTGGGCACTATCAGAGGTCCAAGGGAAGGGGCCTGCCACAAATCCAAATCCAGGAATCACTTTCTCATGTAAAGGAGCACAGCAGACCATGACAAGGATGAAGTACAGTTCATCTAATCAGTGACCTTTGGATACACATAGTATTATATGATGTTTTATTTCTAGGAACAGCATCTCAATGACGATCCCTACAAGTGCACCTTTGCACAAGTCAAATATATAGGAAAAAAATAGATACACACACTCTTATTGCCATATTGGTCTCCCAAAGGACTCAACTAATTTACCTTCTCACCAACAAATGAGCTGCCTGAGGGCTGAGGATGTTGCTCATGGCAGAGGGCTCACCTGGCACGCTGAGGCCTTGAGTTCCACCCCAGCACTGAAAACAAAAAAAGCTGCCTATATCTACTCAGCATCACCATGCAAGGTTCTAAGGGATTTTATTTTGTGATTGAGGCTAAATATTTTATACGTTTGAATTTGCTTTCTCTACTGCTCATGCTGTCTGCCTGTGTTTCTATTACCTGTGGGTTCCCTTCCTAGTCACTGTAGAAATCCTTATATACTGAGGAGTCTCTGTCTTTGTCTCAGGTGTTACAATTGCCTTTTTCCATTTGTCCTTTTTTTTTTTTTTAAGGCTTTTCTATGATATTCATCACTGAAATTTCTATAATGTTTTTAATGACATTCAATACTAATTACTTGTAATAATTTGGTAATTTAAAAAAAAATTTTTTGGTACTGAAAACTGAACCCAGAGATACTTTACCACTGAGCTACATCCCCAGCCCCTTTTAAAAATTTTTTTATTTTCGGCCAGGCATGTGGTGCATGTCTGTAATACCAGCAGCTTGGGAGGCTAAGGCAGGAGGCTTGCAAATTCAAAGCCAGCCTCAGCAACTTAGCAAGGCCCTACACAACTTAGTGAAACCTAAGTTGAGGAGGCTGGCCTCAAACTTGTGATAATCCTGCCTAAGCTTCCCAAGCCACAAGGATTATAGGCCTGTGCTACCACACCTGGCTACAAATTGGATATTAAATTGGCAAGTTCTTATAAGATATTGCTTTTAGTTTATCTGGGATACCTCTAGAAACAAGTAACAGAAAAATCTAACTCAAACTGGTTTAAAGGCAGGAAGAACCTGTGCAGACTCAAAGGACAGGTCCTGAGAGGCAGATGGGAATCAGGCTTCTCACTGGGCTGCCTCCTCAGTGTGTGGGTAGAGAAGCAGCACCACCCAGAACAGCCATGATGATCTCTCCTACAGAAGCAAGGAAGCACTTCCCTAGAAACTTCCAGCACATGCTCCTGACTTTCAGTGGCCCACACTGGGTCCCACATCCACTCCTGAACCAATCACCCACATGTGAAGACCACCCTGAGCCGGGCTTACACCAGCTTCTCTCACACTGTTGGAATGTGAGGGGTGGGGATGGACTAAACAAAGCCAGGCTAGGTTAGGGGAGGTGGTGGGGCAGGCAACCCACAACTACAGTATGACCTGCAGAGGATTCCTGGGCTCTGACCAGGGGTGTGATGGTACAGGCATCATGGGAGCATTTAGGAGGAATGAATAGGGGCACCCACCACAGAAATGCAAACGTGTCCTGATACCACCAAAAACAGTAGAAAAACATTTAAGAGGAAAGGGAGTTCACACTTAACTGTTCCAAATCTGAACCTCCCATAATAGTTAGAAACTCAGTGGTTCAAATGGAATGTGACTTGACAAAAAGGGCATATGAATTAGAAAACGCTATGTCTAAAATGACACCTGTCCAAATACTTTATCTTTCAGAAAATCGGCCTTGACTGGGAATTGTCACTGCACTGTCACTGCACTGGGAAGTGCCATGCTGTACACATTCAGTTCCTCCTTTCAGCATTTGTACCAATAAAACTCAGACTAGAGATCAACAGAGACCACAAAACGGGGACCTTCTTCAATCCAGACTCAACAGATCCACCATTTTACTAAATATTGAAATACACAGAGCTCTGTTTTCTATATATTCCCATCGTAAATGAGTGCATGCTCTGCTTCTTAGTGATCTGGAGCCCTAAGATCTTTTTCTTATGAAACACTTTACTAACACCTGTTTCAGCTGGTCATTCCTAACTGTCAGGACCTGCACTCTATCACCCACTGTATAACTGTCCTTCCAGTTGGCCATCCACAACTGGACATATCTCACTGGTATACTATAAGTTTAGCACATGCAAGGGCCTGGGGTCAATCCCCAGCATCCAAAAGAAAAAAAAAAAAGGATAATCTTTATATAATAATAATTTATAAAAGGATAATCTTTATATAATAATAACATAATCTTTATAAAGGATAATATATTTTTAGAGTAGACAATTTTCCAAAACTGATATATAAAAATAGCCAGTAAGCACATGAAAGGATGGTCAACACCATTAGTCATCAAAAAATGTAAATCAAAACCATGAAATACCATTTCCTGCTCACTAGGATGCCTATAATCAGAAAGTCTGATAATAATGTGTTAGTGAGGACAGGAAATTAGAATGCTTATACACACTGATGTGAAAGCAAAAGGTGCAGCTACTCAGAAGTCTGGCAGAAGTCATGCCAAAAGGTTAAACTCAGAGTTACTACTTGACCCAGCAACTCCACTCCTAGGTACACATCTGAGAGAAATGAAAAGACACATCTACACAAAAACCTGCAAGCAAATGTTCAAAGTAGTATTATCTGTAGTAGCCCCCAATGGAAACCCAATGTTCGCCAACCGTTGAGTAAAATGTGGTCTATCCTTCAATGTAACCTTATTCAGCCATAAGAAGGAATGGAGTACTGAACGTGAATAACATGAATGAACCTTGAAAACATTATGCCAAGAAGCCAGACCAAAAGGCCAATTAAGGACAATTCTACTTCTGTGATGTCCAGAACAGGCACATCTATGGAGACAGAATGTAGACTAGTGGATGCCCAAGGCTGGGTGAACTTGGGGGAAATAAGTGACTATTAATGGGTACATCTTTTGGAGATGATAAAAATATTCTGAGGTTGATTGTGGTGATAGTTGCACAATTCTTGTGCACTTTAAATGGGTGAGTTGCAGAGTATGCAAATTTCATTTCAATAAGGTTATTTAAATAAAAAAGAATAGGTAACAAATAGGAAACTACTACCTTTCATGCTGACACACACGATGGCCGAAACAGTACATATAACAACCGCCAGAAGGACCATGAGGACGATCAAGTAACTGCTGAGAAGAACTCCTCCAGCACAGTCTAGCTTCCTTCTGTGCATGACATACAAGGTCAGAACGCCAATCCACCTGTCCAGAAACAGGGAGGGTCAGAATTGGAATCCAAGGAGCAGCTTTGTAAAACATGATTCAAAGAAGTAAAGAAAGTTAATATTTTTCAAAACAAGGCTGACTGTGAAATACAATTTTCATCAATAAAAGATCAAGCAAGCCAATGAAAGAGCATGGCTTTCTATACTTTCCATGCTTATACCATTGTTCTTATTCTGTGCATGCTATAATCCATTTAAAGTCACAAATAAGCAAATATAATGTGAGCTGCTGGTGGAAATATGCAACTGGTAAGCCAAAAATTATGTTTGCTAAATTACTAATGAGAATTTGTACATTGGTGGTTTAACAACAAGCACACTATAATCTGCAGTGTGTAATTCAAAACCAAGAGGGAAGGAACTAAACAGAAATGCAAAGATGTTCATGCTAAGCACAGATAAGACAGGAAAGGAGAAGTCCTGTGGCCCTGTGACTACAATTTTGTAATTCAGTGCAGAACAATGAAAGACAGCACTGAACACCACAAAGTAATAATGACCCTGACCTATCCCTAGAGGTATTTTAGCAGAAGGCTGCGCAACACTTGGCAAGATTGCCTTATTACATAGATTCAAGCCCAGATCTTTAAGAAGTAGAACTTGGGGGCTGGGGATTGACCTCAGTGGTAGAGTGCTCGTGTGAGACCCTGGATTTGAGGCCCTGGGTTTGAGTCCCGGGACCACCTGGAGGAATTAAAAAAGAAAAAAGAAAAGAAAGCGGAAGGGGTACTGGACTAGATAACTGCTTTCTTCAGTTTTGCGAAATCAGGCCTTCATGTCTAGAAATAACAGGGAAATGACTTCAGAAAACCTGGCCCTGAAAACCAGAAAGTTCCTGGGAAGTAGCTCATAACTCTTGTTTTCAAATTCCTTGAGAATCTACTGTTTGAGAACGATGGTATTACTCCTTGCCCACACCCTTTGCGAACTGACTTCATGCACCAGTGTCGCTTCCCATTGGTTCCACACTCCGAAAGACAACACTTGAGGAGTCTTTCTGCCACCACCGGCTCAAGAATGCAACGAAGGGCATTATTTTCCAACTTTCGTCTTGCAGGGGCAGGAGTTTTGCTCTCCCACGCGGAGTAAGGGAATGAAGCAAGTGCACCCGGCTCGAGAAAGAGAGCTCGAGGCAATGGTATTTGGTCTGCAACGAGGACCCCGCTCCCGTGTGCCAGGTCTCAGCGTTGCAACCGGGCGCTGCTCGTGCCCTGTAGCGCCGACGTCCTGGCCGCGCACCTGACCCCCTGTCCCGGCCTCTGCGGTCAGCAGGCTGGTACTTTTGTCACTGTCTCCAGGGACAGCGCGCCCCCAGCTCCTCCTCGGCGCGGTACAGTCGCCCGCAGAGCGGCCGCCCTTACCACAGCACTCGCAGGAACAGCTCGAAGAACCCAGGGAAAACCAAGTCGTCACTGGCGATGGCCCAGCGCCGGCCGAAAAGCACCATGCCCGGCATGGCGCAGGCCCAGCAGCGCACCGAGCAGCTCCAAACCTTCCGGACTCCGCGGGCGAACCGACCCGCGACTCCGCGCAGGCGCCCACGAGGGCGAGGCCTTGCGCAAGCTCGCTCCGACCCGAGGCGCACGCGCAACCCCCCCCCCCCCCCCCCCCCCCCCCCCGCCCTGCGGCAGTCTGCGCCTGCGCAGGCTGGCCGACACAGCTGATGGCTGTTTACTTTTTTAAAAAAATACGGAATCTTATTTCTAAAATGAACAATCCAGATCAAAGTATAGCTCCGGAGAAGGCAAAGGACCCTCATACCTCTTTTTTTTAGCGATGAAAATGTTTCATTTATAGAGAAGTTGGGCAGCACTTAAGGACTTACCAGGCATCCTTTTTTTTTTTTTTTTGGTACCGGGATCGAAACCAGGTGCACTTAACCACTGAGCCACATTAACCCTCTTTATATTTCATTTTGAGTCAGGGTCTCGCTAAGTTGCTGAGGCTGGCTTTGAGCTCGTGCTCCTCCTGCCTCAGCCTCCCCAGCTGCTGGGATTACAGGTGTGCGCCGCCCCGCTCGGCCCTACCAAGCATCTTTAACAAGGGATAACATCCTATCGTTTTGTCTCATGACTTTTGGAAAAATAAAGATCTTTTTATATTATTTTCTGTTCTTTTAGGTTTAACTTCACCATTTGCACGTTGCAGGAAGCAGTCTAAGAGACGTGGCATTTCATCATGAATTTGTATTAACTTGGAGAAATTTATCTTAAATCTTTGATTCATACTCCCTCCATTTTCCCGTTTGGGACTTGATTTTCTTGATTCGGGTAACTTCTATGATTCAGATGAAATGAACATCCTTGCATTTAGTGTTTTCTACTCTTGCCTACTGTTTTCCCCAGGTGATTGTTCAGGATTTTGAGTAGTTGTTTTTCTGAGAATTCTTTAAAATCCTGAGATCTTCAATTATCAGATTGTGAAGTAAATAAATCACGTTTTTAGTTTCAGGACACAGCAATTTCCTATGACAAACCCATTTATTGTCATAGAAACTTTATCAGATGAGTAAACAGGTTTTATCTTTTCATTGTATTTTGGCAGAGTCAAGTATAGTGTTGGTTAACTGAAGTCTAAAGACTCACACCTTTTAAGTGCCTGAGGTGAAAGTAGGACAGATTTGCACTGTATATTTTAGTATTTGTTATGGCTTGAATATGAGTGTACCACCCAAAGCTCATAAGACAATGTAACCGTGTTCACAGGTGAAGCAATTAGATTGAGAGCTGTTACATGATCAGTGGGTTAATCCACTTGATGAATTAAACATTTGAAAGGATTGCTGTACTGGTGTTAACTGTAGGTAGGTGGGGCATGACTGGAGGAAGTGGGTCACTAGGGGTGACCTGCCTTTGGAGTGTGTGTGTGTGTGTATGTGTGTATGTATGTGTGTGTGTATATATATATATATATATATTTTTTTTTAATATTTACTTTTAGTTATAGGTGGACACATCTTTATTTTATTTTATTGTGGTGCTGAGGATGGAAGCCAGTGCCTCATGCATGCTAGGCGAGCGCTTTACTTCTGAGCCACAATCCCAGCCCCTGGGATTTATATTTTGTCCCTGGCATCTCACCCACTCTCTGCTTCCTGGCTGCCATGAATTGAGCATCACAACCACCAGGATATTCTGTTTCACCTGGGGCTCAGAATAATGGAGTGGCAGACCATGGGCTGAGACCTCTGTTATCAAGAGCCTGAAATAAAAATTTCCTCCTTTAAGTTATGCTTGTCAGGGATTTTGGTAACAGTGACAAAAAGCTGATTAATAGTTTTATTAAAAATTATCCTTGGGTTGGGCTGGGGATGTGGCTCAAGCGGTAGCGCGCTCGCCTGGTTTGCGTGCAGCCCAGGTTCGATCCTCAGCACCACATACAAACAAAGATGTTGTGCCCGCCGATAACTAAAAAAAAAATAAAAATAAATAAATGTTAAAAAAAAATTATCCTTGGGTGGGATTGTGGCTCAGCGGTAGAGCACTACAACGTGCTGGGTTCAATCCTCAGCACCACATAAAAATAAATAAATAAACAAACAAAAAATCAAATAAAGGTATTGTGTCCAACTATAACTAACTAAATAACTAACTAAATATATTTTTTTTAAATTTATCTTTGCTTTGTCATTTAAAACGATTAGTGCTGTGTTGCAACTTGCTTTTAAATTTGCAGGTATAAAAGCAGGCAATACTTCAAACTTGCATGATAAACACCTAAAGAACCTATGCAAGATTCCTCACCGTAGCTGGGCAAGGTGATATACACCTGTAATACCAGTGACTAAGGAGGCTGAATAGGGAGGATCTCAAGTTTGAGATCAGCCTCAGAAACTTAGTGAGATACTGTCTCAAAATAAAAACTTCTTTAAAAAGGTCTGGGGGGGGGCTGGGGTTGTGGCTCAGTGATAGAGCACCCGCCTAGCACGTGTGAGGACCTGGGTTTGATCCTTAGCACCACATAAAAACAAATAAACAAAATAAAGGTATTGTGTACAACTAAAAAATAAATATTAAAAGAAAAAAGGTCTGGGGGAAGCTGGGCCTTGTGGTGCATGCCCATAATCCCAGCAGCTCAGGAGGCTGAGGCAGGAGGATAGCAAGTTTGAGGCTAGCATCTACAATTTAGGCTGTAAGCAACTTAGTGAGACCCTGTCTCTAAGTAAAAAAATAAAGAGGCCTGGGGATGTGGCTCAGTGGTTGAGCACCCCTGGGTCCAATCCCCAGTACAAAAAGGGCTGGGGATGTAGCTAAGTGGTATAGTAGGGGTTTGAACCCCAATAATATAAAGTATACTTACATTGTAAAGGTTAACTCAGATAGGTGGGAGGGCCCATTCTAGGCAGGTGTTCAGGGTACCTGAAAATTCCACATCTGACCACTAGAGGGCAAAACAACAAAAATCCCTGGTGAAGCCCAGACCTGGATTCCAGCTCAGGTACCCTCCTTAATAAGATGTCATCCTAATTGACCACAAAAAAATGGTGGTGACATCTTAGCCAATTTTATTTTCACTTGGGAATAAGGACTACAGGAGGCTTTCACATGCTGAGGTTCCAAATCTTGTTCTGTGTATGGTGCTTTACAGTGAGTGACCCCAGTTTGTGTTATTTACATGCATGAAGACAGGTATAAACCCCCTTTCCCCCAGTCTGGGCAGCAAGTGGTTGGCTTGACCTACTGCCACTGGAATTCCCACCCTTCCTGCATACTCTGAATTGTCCAAGGAGGATGAAAACAGACCACACCCACTAAACCAAGATTAGGATGCTGAGAAAAAAATGTAGACTGCTACATAAAGCAAAAACATGGAAGCAATGGGCTGGGGTTGTGGTTCAGCGGTACAGCGCTTGCCTGGCATGTCCAAGGCCCTGGGTTCAAACCTCAGCACCCCATATAAATAAATAAAATAAAGGCATTGTGTCTAACAACAACTAAAAAATAAATATTAAAAAAACCATGAAGCAAAAGGGGAAATAATATGAGGATTAAACTATGCGATTATGCTGCCAATTCAGAAAGCTCTTACGATCCACATAAATAAACGTACAACTCTTCCAGCTCCTTTCCCCCACAAGACAATTTAAGGCAGGAAGTAAAAATACTATATCCTCCCTGTGGTAAGCACTGTTAGTGTTCAACACTTTCATATTGATGGTGGATCAGGTAAAATCAAAGTCATATACTTATGCATAAATCGAAGAAGTGTTACAAATCAATATAATGGCAAAATCGAGAGGAGGAATTCTAGTATTTCTACAAAATAGAGAAAAAGTTTTCCAGATAATGTGAAATGCTTGCAGGCTGAAAGAGCTTTTGCTATCAAATGAAAACAAATCACACCAACATAGAATGTTTAAAAGTCTAATTCGACAGCATATAAATAAATAAAATAAAGGTCCACCAACAACTAATAAAAAGTCTAATTCATAAAAAATTCTGTGTTTATTAAAGCATTTTATTTAGGATAATAACATAAGTCATGCAAGAGCTCAGTTAAAAACAAAGAATATTAGGAATGGTAATTGGTGCTTTCAATTTAAAAAGAATTGTAAATCACTTTACTATCCAATATTGATAGGAAAAATCATTAGAATCTGAGTATGGACATGGTTGTGGCAATCTTTTGGGAACTGCAAATGAAAGTGATAGATAAGTTGTGCTCTGTTTCTCAGAAAAGTAGGGTCTCATATCCAAAGTAATCATTACAGTCCCTCCAGTCACACTTGGATAGCAAGCAGTCCAGAGCCCTTGCCAGTGAGTTCTTTGGAACTCTTCGGGAAGTCTTAAGGGAGAAGAGCAGGCTCCTTTGGCAACTCTTAGTTGACACCCCATCTACATTCAGAACCTTAAAATTTTGGTTCTGAGGGACTTGCAAGTCACCAACACTAACCTTAAATGTAGTGTTGTGATGTCCACGGAAGGATTTCCACGGCTGGCGGAAATAAACTTGGACAGATGTACAAAATTCAACATACTGTCTCAGATTTCAAACAAATATGACTCATCTTTTGGCAAAAAATAAATGTAGTGGAATTCAAATTTGATAGATGTTAGAATAGATAATTTACCAACTGCCAAGAAGTACGATTTCATTGTAGACACACTCAACCTTCAAGAAGGTTTTTTTTTTTTAAAGTCTGCACTTACTCATTGTAAAATCATGACTTTTGAAACTACCCCAATTAAACTGCACACTGAATTTATTAATACAGAAGGGTATGGAAAACAACAACCCGCAGGGAGAAAAGGAAAGTAATGGGCTCTGGACTTTCACAATTTCCCATTCTACAACTATTTCTCTGACTGCCCAGCCCACATATTCTGCTATGATTAAGTCTCACTTAACTCTATAAAAATCAGATCCCTATTGTAACCAGTTGCCATTTTCCTCCTGAAAAAGTGCCCCTCCGTTGCTTAATAAAGCATAGGGGGGTCCCTCAAGATCTGTCCCCTTGTGTGTGTCTGTGTGTGTGTGTGTGTGTTTGCTTTCAAATACAGCATTAAGTTTCTTTGTGTTAAAAAAAAAAAAAAGATAAGG